TGTGTCCTAACAGAACATTCGTACTTGATATTTGCCTTGAGTAAACTATCATGCAATGGAGGCACCCGGTTACAAAAAAAATATATATATGACAAAAATGATCGACGCTTAGGGGCAGCAGAAATTGCGCGCCTCCGGCGAAGAGTAAGTGTGAATTAGTTGTCATTCCTAGTACTGGATAACCTGAGAAAGTAAGAATTTATAGTCGCCTATTTCTCTCGGTAGCAGAGAAACCTCCCTCAATTTGACTTCTCTTTTCATCGTTAATTCTAAATCATTAGCCGCGCTTTGATGTTGACGGCGTTTCTGCACAGGATCATCCTCCGTCTTTCTTGTTGATATTTGTTCCTTTAACACATGAACAACATCAAAGGGAAGGGTTGCAACTAGCAATCTATCAGCACTTTTTAAATCATATACACACGGCGCATATCCCATGCCCCAAGACGCCACCCACCTGACAGGGGTACGTAAATCCCCGTAACTTGATTCTGTTCGCTGGACTGAATTACTTTTATCATGAGGTTCAGAGTTTGCTCATCGATCTTTATTGACAGTAAAGATCATATGCATACATTTCTAGATACCATACATTCTCACATCTTGTTGCTGCCACTCCCTTTTTGGTTTTGGTGGAGACTCTAGCTACAGACAACGGATGTTGACATGACTGCATCATCCTTACTTTACATGCAACAATAGCGACAATAATCTGCATTCGGACATTTATGTGAAGCTCTGGGCAGAGCTATATGCGATATCTCACACCAAAGCATATCGATGACCTTGAGCAAAACAAGGCACGATAATTCCACGTACGCTTACGGATAAAGGTCTCCTAACTTCGGCAATGGGACGTGTATCCGACGGGGCCACTCAGCTAGATAGACTTTGCAATGCCGTGTTGACGTTGTGTCAATCGAAAATGCTACATACTAAATGCGCACATTACAGACGTCAGCTATCGCTTTACTTGTGTCCGAAGGCATTCATTGTTTGTCTTGTCGTATCGACAGAAGAAGCACTTAGAAGACCTGGGACACTCGTCCGAAAAATTGGTCGCTCGATGAATCGTTTGAATTTGTCCGGTCTACGTTGAGCTGTGACAGTGCGTCACTATCGTCAAAGATCAAGATTGTCATTTGCTTTTTTTTCTTTCGACAGTATTGCCTTTCTACTAAATCAAGTGCATCATAAATCGAACTAGTACTAGCACCTGGCCATCAAATTTCGAGAATACCGGTGACACAACGTTTGACACGTCACCTCAAATGATTCTTGTTAAAACCAAGTACAGTAAGCCCAGTAAGGCGTGTCGTTTGCATCGCCAGTTGAGGTGCCGTTGTCGAGTGCATCAAGTACTGAGGTCGAATAGTAGCTATGAGCGCGTGCAGTTCCACATGGAAAGCTCTGCGCAGCGTGCAAAAAAGCCAAGATCGTTGTCATGCAAAGTAATGTATTCAGACTAGTTAGCCATTCGTAGCTGGGCTCAAGCGATACTAGCATCTCTAGAACATGATGTATTAGCTGTCACGAATCTGCATACCGGTTGGCAGTATATATTGTCGCCCATGGCAGACTCGGCGAACGTCTCCTCTAGTTTTGCAGCTCAGCTCGCAAGCCTTTTTGATGCCTCTGCATGGCACAGGCGATAGGATGCTCAACAAGCGGCAACCCATGCGCCATACGACAGCATGGTGCCAGCAACCCGATTTTGAAAACAATGCCAGAACCAGCAAATGGTATGGCCAAGTGGCAAGACACCAGACGTGTGTAAAAGTAGGCGCTGGCGTTGCGGTCGCCCGACAACACGCACAGACTTGTGCGAAACTGGATGGAACCATACTTCATGTATAAGAGGCCGTTATCGTATGATCGATCGCCACCTCGAGATCACGATTCGGGCTGCATGAACCACAATAGGCGCCTCCCGACGGCTTGACGGCAGTTTGGACTGCCTCAAGTTTTCTCATTCCAACAGTCACCAAGTCACTGCCACGACCAACAACTGCTACGACCAACACCTGCACCACCCACCATGCGCGTCTGCTACTTCGCTCTCCTGCATACTGCCGCTCTAGTCGTCATGGCCACCAAGTCGTCGGAAACATTCCAGCCGAGTGTCCACTTGGGACCCCTCCGTGACGTCGACGACCACCGCAACAACGTCTCAGTCAATCGGGCGCTGAGGGCGCAGGCAGCTCCCGATGATGAAGTGAGAGCGGGTAGTTCTTCTGCGATCACATACGCAATGCAAGCACTTGAAGTGCACGCTAAGCTTCGCAAAGAAGGGCAGCCCTTTGGCGGGAAACATTTTAACAATCTGATGAAAGGGTTGTCTCAACGCGGACTGGTGAATGGAGTGGTGTCCAAGTTTGGCGCTGATAAATCGGCCGAACAAGCCCTGGTAACAAAACTGGTTGACGTGTATGGAAATTACGTGATCGGCCAGTGGATAGTGACAACGTGCCTTGCCAAAGACTTGTCATCAGGACAGGAACGCATGCGAGAGATATTGGTCAAACATTGGGTCGCAACCCCGGCTCTGCGCTACATGATCGCTTCTATTCGTGCGACCAATGATTTCCAGGGTGCAGCCGAGCAAGCACTGGTCAAGAAACTGGTCGACGCATATGGAGACAAAGTGATCGGCCCGTGGACAGTGAGACTGAGCCTTGCCAAAAACTTGTCATCAGGACAGGAATTCATGCTAGAGATCTTGGCCAAACATTGGGTGGCAAAACAGGATCCACTAGCTATGATCACTTGGCTTCGCACGACCAAGAATTTCCAGGATACAGACTTCTATCTTCCCGTGGTCGCCAAACTTCTGCAGAATGTCAAACCTACCGCTGTGAACGAAGCCATTTTTGCTGCCTGTGGTGAAAGTTACGCCTATTTCGTTACAGTCCTGTACCGTGCGTCCATGAAGAAAGAGTCGGATCTAACTGCTTGTAAAGAGGCTTGGCGCTTCCATCATGGGCACATCCCTGAGGAACTGCTTAATTGGTCTACTTTTCTACACTCGTACCATCATTATCTTGAGAAAGATTTCAAGAAATTCAAGGGCGAACACAATCGTCCATATGACCCTCTCAACTTAGAGCAACTCAAGCACGCTTTCGTCATGATGTCTTTCTCAACGTAGACCAACTCAAGCAGTCTTTCGACTTGACGATGACCGTCACTAGAATGGATAATTTGGATCGTTTCGAGGGACTGGTAAGTAAGTGTCGCCAAAGGGAGACTAACGCTCAATGCTGAGGTTAAGAAGCTAAAACATGCCATTACATTTGGTACATCATGTTGTTCTAAACATTTGTGGTGGGGGAGTTGACCGAAGTAGCGCGGTACATATGAAGCATCTCTTTATGCGTACGTTAATAGGGACTCAGCTTTTGCATGCGGCCCCCACTTCTCCGTGGCTACATCTTTATCGCACGTAGTGCTGGTGCTATGTGCAGATGGGATGATTGTGGTGGCAAGAGATGCAACACATGGGAAAGGACGACACAACGGGATTGTGTGTAACTGTCGATGGTGTAAAAGAGTTCCTGTACCATGCACAACTTGGGAGAGAGTTCACATTGGGATTGTGTGGAACGGTGAAGTCCATCTCATCTTTGGTTAGTTTTATCGTAGAGTCGATATGAATGGGCTTAGAAGTAGAACCGTCGAACTAAGGACCTAGCTAACAATAATTTACTCTTCATTTTATCCTCTTCTTGTTGCATTAGCGACAACAGTACCCTTGGCTACCCTCATAATACAAAACGTAGAATCCGCGTTCAGTCGGTTCGTTGCCTTTGCCTTGGTTGCCCGTTCCTGCGCAGCGCGACCTTGCTTTCGTACACAACGAAGATACCCTGTGACACAGACTTTCTCGATTCGACAGTTCCTTGCCGTAGATTCGTTTAGTGAGTAGATTCACTTCTAATACACGGCGAATCTATTTTGTTGCTACTAGCAAAGTGCAGTCGATTGTGGGTGAAATTGAGCAAGTTGGTGCAATGTTGAAAAGTATCAAGCTTTTAATATTACGGCGTAAATCTAATTTCGATCAAACCAGCCGATCTGAATGCCTATTGTATGACCTTGCTATGGCTTTCTTTTTGAAAATGTAAGCACTACATTCAAACACAATTTATCGAATGTACAGTAGTATTTTTGTCGTTTTAAAAGCGCTCCCTCATTTTGCTTGCTTCAAAAGATCTTAAGTTGCTCGAAGCACACGCAAATGCGTTGATTTATTACGAGAGCAAGTTGCAATACCGGCACCAACCTGATGCAAACGTCACAGAACTGGCACCAGCCGTAAAACCAGCACCGGAGTGGCAAACGAGTGAGGTCATAGTCCCTCCGTTTCACCAGGTTTATCCCTTTCAGGAAAAACCAAAAAAAGGCTCATTTTTGAGCCGTTAGTGTCTGTCGCGTACTTTTGCAGGGCCGCAAGCCGAGAATTTCACACTTCAAAACCTATCTTTTATGGAAGGTTTGACGCCAAGGCAGATTGCGAAGCGTTTAAGCTACCGATTGTCGAGTGTGAGGGCTTATAAACATCTCAAAAAGAGTGAACACCGCTATTTGTGCTCGGATTTCTAAATCGCCTGTGTTAGATCGTAATTATATCTTCGAAATGGACGCACATTTTAGCTTAAATCAAACTAATTTGCCTCTATGATAACATCGTATCTTGATTCGGATATTATCAGTACTATCATGTTAAAGATCTCTGTACGATGGCTTACATATTTAATTTCCTTTCAGCTTTTATAAATGCACTTTGAAAAAATGGACAAAGGTTGTGAAACAGATAATCGTTTGATTCGGGACAAAGGCAATGAAACGGAGGAAGTACCTTGATCCATGAAATGTTGAATATTTCACGCGCCAAAGCAATCAATCTGTCGGAAAAGCTAGACAGTTCATCTGAAAAAGAAGTCGATGTTGATGTGCTGCGATTACGAAATGGTAGCCAAGAAGACGCTGACCTGACATAACTACTGCTCAAAAGCAGCCTTGTACACGTCGTCGTAATAATCGGCAAAATGCACAACGAGATCCTTCCGTAAGTACTCTTCAAGCTCGTCGAAGTCACGCTTGTTGCCGAGCGGTAGGATGAGCGTATTCACGCCGGACCGCTTGGCAGCAATGGTCTTCTCCTTGATACCACCGACGGGCAAGACCTTACCCACGAGTGACAGCTCCCCCGTCATGGCGAGGTCAGGCCTCACAGTCCTATAAAAAAATCACATACATGTCAGTCGAGTTTGTAGATATTCACAACCTTTTTACGTACTTACTTGTTCATAGCCAGAGAAAGCAATGCCGTCACCATCGTACAACCAGCAGACGGCCCGTCCTTCGGCGTAGCTCCCTCTGGAACGTGCAGATGCACTTCATTCTCCTCAAAGAACTTATTCTCAGGATCAATAGCGTGCATCTTGCTGCGAGCAAATGTGTGCGCAATCTTAGTACTCTCCTCCATCACAGATCCCATCTGGCCCGTAGTGATAAGACCCGAGCGGTCACCCTTGGTACAAACCCTACTGGTCTCGATGTAAAGCGATGCTCCACCCATAGCCGTCCATGCAAGTCCCATAACAACACCGGGAAACTGTCTGTCAAACATGCGGTCCCTAGGGTTTCCACAACAGGAAAGAGGTCAATACAGATAACGCGTGCACATCCAGCGCTAAGAAAACAACTTACGATGTAAAAATGGGCTTCCCAACGTATTTGGACAACTTCTCAGGAGTAATGAGAAAGCGGTTACTGTCTTTCGACATCTCCTCTGCATCTTTCGTCCCGGCAGTCGATTCGCCAGTCTTCTGCGTCTCAGCAGCCTGAGCACTCTCGATATCTTCAACAACCTCAAGGGCTACCTTGCGGAAAATCTTTTCCACGTGCTTTTCTAAATTCCGGACACCACTCTCGCGGCAGTACTGCTTCACCAGTGCCATAATTGCATCGTCAGTCAGACCCAGAGACTCTGGCGTGGTTTCTGACTTTTCCAGGCCCGTTTTTTCACGAGCCTTCGGCACAAGATATTCCTTCGCGATCGCCAGCTTTTCCGGTGAGTCATAACCTGACAGACGCAAGACTTCCATTCGATCCAGCAATGGTGCGGGGATGGTGTCCGTAATGTTGGCAGTACAGATGAAAAGAACACGAGACAAATCAACAGGCACATCCATGTAATGATCAACAAAGCCGCTGTTTTGAGATGGATCCAAAAGCTCCAGCAGAGCTGACGCCGGGTCACCTTGGTATCCACGCCCTAGCTTATCAATCTCATCAATCAAAATCAGCGGGTTCGAGCTCTGGGTAGACTTCAAGCACTGGATAATTTTTCCGGGCATGGCGCCAACGTAAGTTCGGCGGTGACCCTTAATCTCGGCAACGTCACTAAGACCGCCGACCGAGAAACGAAAAAACTCGCGGTTCAACGATCGGGCAATAGATTTACCAATGCTCGTTTTACCCACACCAGGAGGACCGACAAAGCAAATGATCTTGCCCTGGACATCACCCTTCAACTTGGAAACAGCAACGAACTCCAAAACACGTTCCTTGATGTCCATCAGACCAAAGTGGTCCTCGTTCAAAATTCGCTTCGCCTTGGCAAGATCAAAGTTCTCCTCAGTAGCTTTGCCCCATGGCAACTGGGTAAGCCAGTCCAGGTAATTACGGGTGACGTTAAACTCGGAAGAGTTCTTTTCTAGCATAGACATTTTGTTCAGCTCGTCCTCCACGACTTCATTGACGCTGTCAGGAATACTACCCGGTGCAAACGCAGCAAGGCGTTCACGGTACTTTGTAATCATGGCATCCTTGTCATCTTTTTCCATGCCAAGCTCCTTCTTGATCGCCTTTAATTGCTCCATCAGCAAATAGTTGCGTTGGTTTTTTGACACCTTCTCCTCCACCTGTTCCTTGATAATCTGCTGCACTTTACTCAGCTCGAGTTCCTTCGTGATGAGCTCCAGCGCCTTTTTCAACCGGGCTTCACATGACAGTTCATCCATCACCTGCTGCAACTCGTCGCCATCCGCCGATGTCACCGAAGCGGCAAAGTCTGCCAGCTTGTACGGATTATGGATATCAATCCGTTGCGAAAAGTACTGCATGTGGTCCTTGAACAGCGGGTTCATCTTGACAATCTCCCTCAACGTGGCAACAATCTCGTTCGAGTACGCTCGAACCAATTTACTCTTCGGGTCGAACGGCGGATTGTCCAAATTACTAATATTCACTCGAATAGGAGGTCCTTCGTCCCGAATGCTATCAATTGCAATCCGGCGTTGGGACACCATTAACACTTGCACCGAGTTCGTATCAAATGGCAGTAAGTTGTCAATGCGTGCAAAGCTCCCAATATGGTGCAGTTCACTCAAATGTCGAACGAGGTCGTCCCCTCCACTGTCTTTCAATAGATCTCCACTCGATCGCTTCAAAAACACGCCAACATACTTCTGTCCACTCTCTTTGAGCGCCAAAAGTGCACGGGTAACCTCTGGATTCGTAATCGTCAGGGGTAACACAATGCCTGGAAAAAAGGGCCGACGCGCTGGTAGAGCCAGCACATGAGGGTACACTGGGGCGTTTTCCCCTTCCCCTACCGTAACCAGCTCAGTAGTCTGGACGACTTCCACGTCCTGGTTCTTATTCGTTGTGTTGACGTCATCATCATCGTCTTGACTCGACCCGTCATCTCGATCGCGACTGTCGGTCGAGAACAAAGCGCTAAGACAATCGCAACCACGACGTGCAGACGCATAGCGCCATAGATGGGGACTAGCGAGTGCGTGTGGTGGACGGTGGAACGCTGTGGCTATAGAGAAGGAGAGCGGCCGAGCGATCGTCGCCATTGACGGAAGGCGCGACATTGGCGAAGCTCCTCACCACTCTTATTATTTTGATTGCGCAATCTTGGGTCGACGACGGATGGGGCTGAATACCGGTACTTCTTTCTATGATACGACTAAAAGCGGTTCAATCACTGCAAATCCGACTTGCTTATCCTTCGATGACAGCATGGGACTGCAAAGCCGACGATCGAGTCGCGCAGGTCGATACTATTCTGAATACGGATGCCCTTGTACTTGGATAAAGTTGTGAATAGGTACGACGCACTACGATTCGGTACGTGACGTCAGAAAATCCCTTTTCATTTATTGCTTTTAAATTCTTTTCGCCATAATGTCAAGTTCAAATATTCAAATTCGTAGCTAGTAATAAAGAATGCTAGTTACACGTTTAGGGAATTGCTAAATTCTCACTCCTTTTCCTTACATTCACACCCTTCCTTCGAAATCTTATGTGTAAAATTTTCTATTCATTTTAAGATTTGTTTTCTGTGATCGCTACCGACAAGTTCATAATGTCAGAAAGAGGTAAGCGTCATGAAAGATGATAAATTTGAGGACACGTAGGCCAGAAGCGCGAAAAGGTCGTGATGTGCTCGGCAGACCCGGCCGTGACTTGCCTTCTTGGTCGCCATTGACGACGCTCGATGTTACCGATGTTTTTGACAACTAAGTACCACTGTGTCATTGGGTTTGCAAGATCGTTTGTTCATCGGATGAATTCACTCTTGGGGTGCGTAGCAACAGCGTCGGTAGAATGAAACCTACACAAAACGGAGCGCTCACATGAGACACGTGAAGTGCTCGTCGAGACTTGCATTAGTCGTGCACACGCTATTCTAGCACAAGACTGTGGCCTGGTAACGAGAAGCTTTGTGCAGAAATACTACGACAACAAGTCTTGAATTCGTACAGATGTATACGAACTCGGTAAAGCATGCGGTGATTTGCATACTGAATTATCTCCAGCACCGAGTCACAACTGTCGTAAACTAAGGCCAAAGCTCGGACATTTTAAGACCTCGCCCGTGATTCTATAGTGATTATCGTCTCGCACTGTTGCCCTTTTAGATGATTTGTTTTGATGCTCGTCGAACCTTTGAAGTCAGCACACCTCCACGTGGGGGCGCTAGCGCACTAGCTACATGTTTCTTCCCGTCTTTTCGACTTGATACTACAAGTATATCCGACCCCACAATATCCTTCAGCACGCTGTCACTTCCCTCCGCATCCTTACAATTCCTGCGTCTATTTAAAACCTTCTTTCTCCTTTAATGATGTCTGCAGAACAACACGGGCATAAACAACAGACAATTCTTGCTACAGCAGTCGGAAGACCAACATCGTGCACAAATTATGCATGCATGCGGTATATGCAGCTCGCTAGAATGCTCTCAACTAAGTACTTTCTACCTAAACGTGAAGGCCAGGCAGCAAATACTCATGAGACAAGTAAAGGCCAGGTACTACCAGCACCTGAGACAACTGGTTATAAGACCACTCTCGACCAAGTCGATCGAGTGGCCGCCTAAATTGTACTCCGACTGAAGCCTATCACCTCGCCTCTCAGATCAATCTAAAATAAGGCCGACGTTTACAATCATCACCAAGTCCTCCAAAGAGTCAAACCCGACAGCCGACGGGTACAAAACGTGAGTCAAGGTCCACAAGCGACATCTGAGTACCCCGTCCAACATTCGGCAGTCCGGCACAGTGAGTGATTTGGGGTCTCGTCAAACAATTTTGACAACCTACTTCATCACAATGATTCGGTTGCCTGGATCTTCAAAATTAGCGAGATTTCACCGCGACTCCCAAGATGAAGAAGACTCTATGGTCAAGACAGAACCAAAGACCAAAGAACCCAAAGAAGACCGACTGCCACTGACACAAGAAGACAAAAATAGTTCTTACCTTGCGGCTACTTCACACAATGAATGTTGTGGGCTGTTGATTTTTTATCCGCACAAGCGATACAGTCTGCAATTTAAGGCCTTAAGAATGCAAGCACGATAGGCTAGCTTCGATGGATAAGCGCATCAAAGCTTTGCAAGTTATTTACCACCATCCTATTTGTGGTCTTACCACCATAGTTTAAGCATGATTTCTGATAATGAGTTATACTACAGCGTCATCAAGTAATTTACACAATGCACTCTAAACAAATAATGCCTCCTGTAGCACCATTTTTCTTGAAAGTGTGCCAAATTATATTTTGTCTTCAATTATGATATATATTTGGATGTAGGATCGCGTTAGTGTCGCAAAAAGTTAGCATTTATCATCAATGCTTTACAGCCATTAAGACCTCAATGGACGCACAAGTTCTCATTTCTAAGACAAAGTAAGATCAATAAGTAACCGTTATACTTTATATCAGGCTTGACGTCATAGACGTTGTACTTTGCGTTAAGTGCTTCCTTGTTTTCTTCCTACACTTGATTAAAAATGATGTTCCAAACAAAGGATTAAGCTTTCTTTTGAATACATTGTATAGTATAATTTATCGAAGTGTAGTATTTTGTGGACACATACGGCAATATGAAATTGTTTATCAATACAACGGACAAGACTAACCATATTTACTCAAACATTTCTTTAAATCAAGTTAGAAAATTACTTTAGATAAAAAGTTTATCTCCTGCAAAGTCTAACGTTCTTGAACCTGCCTAAAAATCACAGAGGGTGTAGAGCGAATAATGTCTAATAAGCGCGTTTTACATATGCCAATATGACTATACAACCGATAAATTTTTGTCAGCCCGTAGATAAAGATTTTGATGGTTGTGCACAAGAGAAATACCAAACTTTTGAAAATTGTACTTATCTGTCTGTGTGTGTATTCTATTAGAGCAGATGTACCTTTCGAGTAGTTGTGAGTACGAAGTAGCCCTTAACTCCTCAACGTTGTAATCTTTTTAACAGGTCACTAGTTGCGACTTTAAAGTGTACGATACAAAAGCAAGATTAGAAATGATTTATAAGCAAGTATCTAGTCCATTGAACCAATTGAAATTCACGTACCTTGCGCTTAGCCAGTAATTGCTGTAACGAGGTTACATCAACGCGCGAGACTTTTCGCATTAGTAAATGAAAGGTATGAGATAGATTTTAATAGCAGTACGCACTTAGACTTCTGAAGTATTTAAGGTACAGCAATTGCGTACCAATCACAAAATCTGTTTTACAAGCGGATGACGCCAGTTTTGACGTCATCACTATGCTTCATTGAAGTCCTCAATCAACGCCCTATTTTGGCTCAATCGCGTATAAAAAGGCTTTTTATCTGAGCATTCGTATAATCGTGTGTATTTGAGCCACTTAATGTTAATTTTTTTGTAAAACATTCAAATGTCAATCTACCTATATGTTGCGCTATATTTAAAGTGTGTGCCGGAAAACGGGGAAATGCGTCCGAGCCACACTATCTAATCGTGCGTTTCTATCGATAAGGCAGTATTAAGGCGACCACCCAATTTTTCTGCACGTGATATCATACAGTTAAATTGCTTCCTCGGAGGTGCTTAAAGAGTTGTAATAAGATATTGTGTGGCAGCTAACCCGCATGCCTACAGCTTCATCCTCGGCCTAGTAAAGATGCGTAAGACCAATGCAGACAAAAAATGCCGCATAGCACTAAGTACGACGTTATGAATACACCTAGCGTTATATTAAGATTGACAAGCACACACACAAGTTAGTAGGAGTGCAAAGTTTGGCTTTCGCATCGCGCACAATAATTGATGGCTGCACCCTTCGTGCTTGTAATTACGCTGATTAGTTCATAAATAATATATTATCGACCGCGTATGTTGGATGGAGGCGTTAACGAGCAGGACCATTCTTTTTCTACCCTTTCTTGCATTCTTCACTACAGAATAATAAAATTAACAAGTGTGATTACACGCAAACTTTTATTATCGCTTTAACACTTTCACATCGTGGACTGAACTACTTACATCAAGAGACGAGATACAAAGCTTGCTTACCTATTCGATTATCATCTAATTCTCTAATTTAAAAAGAAGGGCATAGCAAGATTGAACTTAGTAATTAAATGAATTAAGCTGGTTTGATCGATATTATTGCGAGCCCGGAGGTTAAGCTTTTGGTTACTGTGCGCAAAATTGAGTACGAGCTTTTTTCTGCACTGAACTCAGCACGTGTCTGTCTGTGTTTGTAAATGACGCGGCTATGCGTTCTTTTACGTATCAAGCACGATCTAGTCTGCCCCCCCTTGCAGGTATATCGTAATCATGTTTACTTGTTTTTTTACTAAAGCTAAGTATGATCACATAAGCAGCTGGACTTGTATAAGCACAGGCAGATCGCGTTTTCCTTACCATACTGGGAAAATACAGACATCAACAACATCATATCTATTTTAATTAAGTGCAGCTGTTATATGATGTTTTGGAATTTGATTCAGTTCTCTTCCCTGACTTACTTTTGTTAATGTACGGGCTCCAAAGCTTGGTCCCCTATATTTTATTTACGCTGCCCCGTTGTATTTTTAATCTGACAAAAAATGCTTGTTTCACCCGTATTTAAATGAACATTGTTATCAACAACGATGCGAATCGTCGTCTGTCAGACATAAATCAACTCCCAGAATGATGATAAATGCTAGGAAAATTCAAGTCAAAATCGTTTGATTACACGTTTTTTAGTTAGGTGAAAAGAAGGTTGAGCTGCGCGGGGCCGGGCAAATGTAAGCGAAGAGAAACGAAAAGTCTAGCCGTGGAGGCTGACTGCGACAGAGATGTAGTCATGGAGAAGCAGAATCCTTTGAAGAAGCTGAGCAACACTAACGTAAGATCAACCTCTGTTTTAATAATATGCTTTATTTACAGCGCTTCTTTGGTCGTACTCCACAAGTGTAATTGCTTTAGACAGAACGATGCACTAAATGAAATGACAGGGTATGTGCTTCATAATCTGAGCGTCAGTATACCTGATTCACGGGCTTGCGATTTGTGTTGTGCGTATACGCTTGTCAATCTCTAGACGTCTTTATCCTC